GTCAATGTTTCTGAGGCAGAAGCTGTTAAAAATATGAATATTCGTGGAATATTTCTGCAACGTGAATACAAACGTTATTACCCAGAAGGCGAAAAACTAGCACATGTCATTGGGTTTACGAATCGAGAAAATCGCCCAATGGAAGGTGTTGAATTGATTCATAACCGCGATATGACAGGTACGAGTGGACAAGAAAAAATTATTCGAGATAAACTTGGGAACCCTGTGCGAGCAGACCAGTTAGTCGCGCCAACGAATGGTCAGGATGTGCAGTTGACCATTGATAAAACGATTCAGTTTTTTACTTATCAAACCATTAAAAATACCGTGGAAAAGTATCAGGCGAAGGGGGGTAGTGCTGTGGTTGTTGATGCAAAAACTGGCGAGGTTTTAGCCATGGCAAACTGGCCAAGTTATGATCCAAATGCGCTATTTAGTCATGGAGAAAGTGCTCGCATCTCTGTGTCACAATTACGAAACAGAGCGATGGTTGATGCTTTCGAGCCTGGGTCGGTGATGAAGCCTATTAGTATAGCCTTGGCGTTAGACGCAGGATTAGTCACCCCGCAAACGCAAATTAATACGGCGCCAGGTAAGAAAAAAATTGGCAACTTTACCATTTCTGATGCTCATCCCTTTGGTCAACTTAGCGTGGCACAGATTGTGCAAAAATCAAGTAATGTTGGTACGGTAGCCGTGATCGAAAAACTTCCCAAAAAGACATTGTGGGAAGGGTTGCAACAATTTGGTTTTGGTCAGATTCCTCAAACGCAATTTCCGGGAACGACAGCAGGGCGTTTGCGAAGTTACAAAAAATGGGGGCATATTGATAAACTTTCTATTGGCTACGGTTATGGTCTAAATAGTTCTTTGTACCAACTTGCACAGGCTTATACGGTTTTTGCTAATGATGGCATGTTGATTCCTTTGTCGCTTGTTAAATCGATTCATCATAACGAACAAGCGCAAAAAAATTTAACAACATTGGTCAATGCAGAAGATTTTACGAATCAAAAAAACTTATCTGGCGAAAAAGGTCATCTTACACAAGAAAAACAAAGTGGATTTTTAAAAAAATGGCTATTGGGAAGAGACTCTGTTGACAACGTTGAGCAACAACAAGATATTGCTACCGCCATCGATGCCAAGCCCATGACACCTGTTGGCGTGGCTGTTATTTCGCCAGAAACAGCGGCGCATGTGCGAAAAATGCTTGAGTTGGTCACTGCGCCAACAGGCGGGACAGCACCGCAGGCTCAGGTGATGGGATATCGTGTTGGTGGGAAAACAGGTACAGTACGCAAATTTGTCCATGGGCAGTATTCACAAAAAGCTTATCGAAGCGTGTTTGTGGGGATGGCGCCAATGAGTCAACCACGAATTGTTGTTGCGGTGATGATTGATGAGCCAAGCAATGGTCAATACTATGCTGGTGAGGTTGCTGCACCTGCTTTTTCACAAATTAGCGAACAAACACTTCGTATTCTAAATGTACCCGTTGATTCGGCCATTAAGAGTTTGGTGGTGGGTAAAGCTGTGCAGGAGAGTATTTGATGACCACGCCAATCAAAATTCAAGCAGCAGATACGCCACAAGAAGTCATTGCCTTGATGTCGGTCTTGGGGCGATCCAAACAAAATGCGCGCTTAAGTTGTGATAGCAGAAAAATTCAAGCGGGTGATGTTTTTGTTGCGTTGACAGTAAAAGGTGTTGATGGGCGAGCTCATATGACACAGGCTTTGACACAAAAAGCCAGTGTCATTTTAGCAGAAGCCCAAGGCTTTTCTGATTGGCAAACACAGTTGGGGTGGACGACTACTTCAGGTGGCGAAACTCCCGTTGTCATTGTTGTTGATCAATTGGCACAACAATTGGGAGCCATAGCTAAGCTGTGGTTTCAAAGTGAAGCATTACCTAAAATCATCGGAATAACAGGGACGAATGGTAAAACAACTAGCTGTTTATGGCTGTGCGAAGGTTTGAGACAGCTGGGACAAAAGACTGCGAGTATTGGCACGCTAGGGATTGGTGTGGATGGTCATTTTGTTTCAACGGGATACACAACACCTGACGCATTGTTATTACAAAGCATTTTTGCTGATTTAGCGAAAGCACAAGTCGAGACGATTGTGATGGAAGTTTCTTCTCATGCTTTAGATCAAGGCCGGGTTAATGCTGTGAGTTATGAAACAGCACTTTTAACCAATTTTAGCCAAGACCACTTAGACTATCACACCGATCTTGATGACTATTGGCGTTCTAAAGCACAATTGTTTGCTTGGCCCAATTTAAAAAATGCTGTGTTGAATCGGCAAGACGCCAGAAGTCTATCGTTGTTAGCATCTTTACCTAAAGGGTGTCGCCTTTGGACTTATGGTATTGAATCAGAAACCAATATAGCACAAGAATGGCAGACTGTACCGCATAGTTTGCACTTGATTGCGAACAACGTTATTCAACAACCCGATGGGCTTGCCTTTGATCTGATCGTTATGGAAGAACAGCAAATTCAGACTCATTTTACTTTGCAGTTACCCATTGCGGGCTTATTTAACCTCGAGAATTGGTTAGGGGTTTTCGCAAGCTGTTTAACCATGGGTTATACCGTCAAGGCTTGTTTGGATGTGTTACAAGTGATTGCGTCAGTGCCCGGTCGCATGCAGGTTATTAATCATCTTCACAAGAATCAACCTCTTGTGGTGGTTGATTTTGCCCACACCCCAGATGCTGTCCGTAAGGTTTTGATGGCGATTCGTCCACAGACCAAGCTTCGAGGAGGACGGTTATGGTGTATTTTTGGTTGTGGTGGTAATCGGGATGCCAGTAAACGCCCACTCATGGGGCAAGCAGCTGCAAGTTGCGCAGATCAATTGGTGATCACCAGTGATAACCCTCGTCAGGAAGATCCCGATCATATTATTGCTGACATTGTACAAGGGCTAGGGGCAACCCAAGCAACGGTTGTGATTGAACCTGATCGTGCAAAAGCGATTGCCTATGCTATTGGCCAAGCTCAACCCAATGATGTTATTGTTTTAGCAGGTAAAGGTCATGAAACAACGCAAGATATTGCAGGCAGAAAGTTACCTTTTAACGATGCATTCATCGCTCAACAAGTTTTAGAAGCTCACTATCCTACCAACGGGGGGAATCATGTTTAAATTAAAACAAGTGGCTCATTGGTTAGGTGCTGACGAACAAAATTGTCCTGAAATGGTTTGTGATCGCATTAATACCGATACTCGTCAGCTCAAAAATGGTGATTTATTTGTGGCCTTAAAAGGCGCAAATTTTGACGCACATGATTTTTTAGCGGAAGTTGCTCAATATCAAGGGGTAGCTGCCATTGTTTCGCTAACGGCAGACGTACCGCCTAATTTGCCGGTTATTCGGGTCGCAGATCCACTGATGGCTTTACAAAAGATTGCTAAAAAATGGCGGCATCATTTTCGGTTGCCTACCATTGCTGTTACGGGTAGTAATGGTAAAACAACGGTTAAAGAAATGTTGGCGCATATTGGTAGGACCTGGTTAGGGGATACAAAGGTTATTGCAACACAAGGCAATTTGAACAATGATATTGGTGTGCCCTTATCTGTTTTACGTTTGAATGCCAACCATCAATATGCGGTGTTTGAACTGGGCATGAATCATCCAGGTGAAATTGCGGTCATTGCACCAATTGTGCAAGCCCATATCGCATTAGTCAACAATGCACAACGAGAGCATCAAGAGTTTATGGTTTCGGTCGCTAATGTTGCTAAAGAAAATGGTGCAGTTTTTGGCTCGTTGCGTCGAAATGGTGTGGCGGTTTATCCTTTGCAAGAAGAGTTTGTCAAAATTTGGCAAGCTCAAGCACTTGAACATTGGCAAGTCATTTTTACAACGAGTGAAGATGAAGCACAAGCAAGAGCTTTGCAACAGACAGAACAAGTTAAATGGCGTCGACCTGTTGCGGTTGCTTTTAAGCATCCTTTCGCACAACAAGACCACTTTAGTCAATCATTAGGCATTGTGCTACCAGAGATGCCTTACGCCAATTTACCTTCAGAAACCTGTTATTTTAAACTGGCCTTGTTAGGTGAGCATAATATCAGCAACAGTGCTGCAGCATTTGTATGTGCGCGTTTAGCAGGAGTACCTAGCGACGTTATTTGTCGAGCCTTTGCAAGTTTTAACGCTGTTAAAGGGCGCATGCAAGCGCATGTTTTATCAGATCATATCACGGTGATTGATGACACCTATAATGCCAACCCCGATTCAGTCATTGCAGCCATCGATAGTTTAGCCAAGATGCCGGGTAAGCAATTATTTGTTTTAGGGGATATGGGAGAAGTGGGTGCCCACGGGCAGCAATACCACGAAGAAGTTGCTGCACACGCAAAAACAATGGGTTTAACTGATTTGATGACACTGGGTGAACTCGCTCAATATTGTGTTCCAATTTTTGGCGCAGGAGCAAGTCATTTTTCAACGATGCATGATGTACAGAATGCCGTTTTGGCATGGGTAGCACAATATGCAGATCAACCGATGACGATTTTGGTGAAAGGTTCACGGTTTATGAAAATGGAGCAAGTGTTGACAGCACTTGAGACTCATGTTGCGAAAATTTGAGTAAGGATAGGAAATCAATATGTTAGTTTGGTTAGCAAAAATTTTTCATGCCGATTATGGTTTTTTGAGATTGTTTGATTTTCATACCTTTCGGGCCTTGATGGCGGTTTTGACGGCTATGGCTATTGGTCTTGGTTTTGGTCCATGGGTTATTCGTAAATTACGGGAGCTTAAAGTTGGGCAAGCCGTGCGAAGTGACGGACCACAAACACATTTGATTAAGTCAGGGACGCCAACGATGGGTGGCGTCTTAATGTTGATTGCGATTACTGTTTCGACATTGTTGTGGGGAAATCTAGAAAACCGATTTATCTGGGTAGTGTTAGGTGTCATGATTGGTTACGGTGCGATTGGCTGGGTTGATGACTATCGCAAAGTGGTTTACAAAGATCCGCGAGGCATGTCTGCTCGTGAAAAAATGTTTTGGCAGAGTCTGATTGCAATCGTAGCGGCGGTGTATTTGATGTTCGCCATTTCAGAAAATTCTGGTACGGCAGCTTGGCAAGGCTTTTCTCATTGGGTTGCAAGCGGGTTTTCAGCGGAGCTATCTCCCAATACGGATTTGTATTTGCCATTTATCAAACAGGTGAGTTATCCGTTAGGCTGGGCAGGCTTTATTATTTTGACCTATCTGGTGATTGTTGGAGCGAGTAATGCTGTGAATTTGACCGATGGCTTAGATGGCTTGGTGACGATGCCCGTTGTGTTAGTGGGTAGTGCATTAGGCATTTTTGCTTATATTATGGGCAATGCGGTTTATGCTAAGTATTTGTTATTTCCGTTAATTCCTGGAGCTGGTGAACTAATTGTTTTTACGGGCGCATTAGCGGGCGCGGGATTAGCTTTTTTGTGGTTCAACGCCCACCCAGCACAAGTCTTTATGGGGGATGTTGGAGCACTTGCTTTAGGTGGAGCATTAGGTACGGTTGCGGTTGTTGTGCGTCAAGAAATTATTTTAGCCATTATGGGTGGAATCTTTGTTGTTGAGGCGCTTTCTGTGATGTTGCAAGTGAGTTACTTTAAGTACACCAAGAAAAAATATGGTGAAGGAAAACGATTGTTACGCATGGCACCCTTGCACCATCATTTTGAGCTGGGTGGTTGGAAGGAAACACAGGTTGTGATCCGATTTTGGATTATTACCATTATTTTGGTTTTATTGGGTTTAGCAACCTTAAAAATTCGGTAAATATGTTTGGGCAAAATTCATCCCCTTCTATTTTAATTGTTGGCTTAGGCGAATCTGGCTTGGCAATGACACGTTTTGCTTTAGCGCAAAATGCTAAGTCTATCACCGTGGTAGACACACGTAAATCGCCACCTGCTTTGCAAGCATTTGAAGCGCTCGCGCTACAAAATCCAACGTTAAAATTTGTTAGTGGAGAATTGACATCAGCCTTGCTATTAGGCATTGAACTCATTGCCATGAGCCCTGGCGTTTCGCCAGAGAATTCGCCCGTGCGTGAATTTCTATCCGAAGCACAAAACCAAGGCATTCCAATTTGGGGCGAGTTAACTTTTTTTGCAAAAGCTTTGATGCATTTAAAAGCAACGCAATTCCAATAGCGATACAATTTAACAAAATTCCACTACCACCATAACTAATCAGTGGCAACGTTAAACCTTTCGTTGGTAAAATACCTGTATTAACCCCCATGTTAATCAAACCCTGAATGCCAAACCACAATGCAACACCTTTTGCCATTAACCCTTGAAAAATACGATCAAAGGCAATCGCCTCATCTCCAATTTTGTAAATGCGGTAAACCAAGAAAAAATATAACAAAACAATCATCGTTAGCCCAAACCAACCAAACTCTTCACCCATCACAGCGAAAATGAAATCGGTATGCGCTTCGGGTAAATAATGTAATTTTTCAAGACTACCCCCTACACCTACACCAAAATATTCTCCTCTGGCAATCGCAATTAAAGCATGCGTGAGTTGATACCCTTTATTGAGCGCATACTCCTTACCCCAAGGATCCAAGTAGGCAAAGATCCTACCGCGACGAAATTCCGAATAGTAAATAATTAAGGCAAAAGCGATTATCAACATCCCCATCATTAAAACAAAGACTCTTCCATTGGCTCCTCCTAAAAACAAAATACCCGCAGCAATCAGGGCAATTACGATAAATGCACCCATATCGGGTTCTGATAATAGCAAAACACCAATGAATACGATTACCAAACCCATTGGAACAAAGGCTTTACTAAAGGACTGCATACTAGATAGTTTTCGACTCACAAAATCGGCACTGTAAACGACAACGGCAAGCTTCATAATTTCAGAAGGTTGCAAATTGAGCACCCCCAATGAAATCCATCGCCTTGCTCCATACACCGATTTTCCAATAAAAGGTATCAAGACTAACACTAATAAAAATGTGGCAATCCCAAACAACTTAAATGAATTTCTTTGCCAAAATTGTGTCGGCAACTGCATCGTTAACCATCCTGCGACAGCACCTAAAGTTATGCCAAATAAATGCCGCCA